GTACCAGAATCAGAAGGGGTTTTGGTGGAGATTGTAGTAATTTCTGTACTACATAGTCAATCAATGTGTATATATGATACTTAACTGCTAAAAAAAACGACAACAACAACTTATACCAGGTGTTATTCATATGGGTTTTAATAGATATATTCGTCTAATTCAATTGCCTTGGGAATTATTGTCTATATTTTGAACTTGTATGAATTACTATCTGTTTTCTATAATTGACCTGATTACAAAGTATTTCCCATTCGTTCAAAATGTTTGTTTATACTGATTTAGAAATATCGCATATAGGTATTTTACATTTATAAAATATATATGTATAAGGATAAATATATTTAGTTTAATGTTTCAAATGTTTAAAATAGTAGTATACATTACTTAGAGCTGTGTAAAAATGTTATTTTAACTAAGATTATATGGTGGTGAACGAGGACTTTAGTGAGGACAATCGAATGTATATCAGTAAATACTTCATTTGAAAAATATCAGTTAATTGTTTCAGACTTCACTGTTCCTTCATTTCCACACCAATCACTCTCTGTTCTCATTTTCTTTTCTTTGATTTTCTTAACCTTCTGCCTTCAGGCATTTCATATTCAATTGATGACATATACTACTTATATCTATTGACATTAGTAGCACACACCACAATATGATATTGATTTTACTTTGAATATATACAGAATAGTAATATATCATATAATAATTAGTCCCATTAGATAAATAATTTGTTTTAAAAATATGTTGTGAAATATAACTGTTTTGATTGAACATTTTAGACATACGACTACTAATGGTGTGTGTGTGTGAATGTGTCTAAGTGTAAAATTATGAATAATTAGGAAATGGTGCTAAGGGATTAAATAAAATTAGTTGAATTCATTTGAAGCTAGACCACAATGAAAAATCTGGAAACACTAGACGGCCGTTTCATCCTATCGTTGGACTCCTCAGTAGTGCGCATCCACGAACCCACGATCTATCAGTCTCATGCACGAACGCTTAACCTCTAAACTACTGAGCCGACATTCAACGGCGCTATTGTTTGACTTCAACGAATCCACGAAATTGCGCCACCGTTTTCTTGTGTATAAAGTTATTTTACATTAACAAATAAAAAAATTCTCAATTTTATATTAAGTGAAACAACGTTCATGGTCATGTTTACCTTGTTGGCAAAAGAAACTATGTTATTATAAGTTTTTCTTCCATCAGTAGTAAATTTCCCAACTTATAACTGATTACTCACTATTTAGAGTTATTGTTGTCTTTTATTTTAGATTGTTAGAGTGAACCATTCTCAAGTTAATAAAACTTTCAAATATTCACCTAAAAGTGTATGAATATATCAAAGTAATAATGTTGTTAAGAAATTTATCCCGTACTAAATGTACCTTTGGTCGTGATGGATGTAGTTCATGAATATCATACCAGCGAGTTCCATATCTTGGATTACTTGCTGACGATCGGAATAGTTTAAAAACGTGAGAAGGTGGTTAGTTAATAATCAGGTGACGGGTCATGGGAGGAAGCTGTATAAGAATGGAATATGCTAGTCCATCACTCCCACCTGTTTGGAGTTCGTGAGATATTGTAACTCTGTGACTTGGGATATTATCATCCAGTGGTTGAATATACAACTCTAAATTTGATTAATAATCTTGCCCTGCAAAAAACAAGTATAACAAAATCACCATGAAGGTATTTTACCTTTTGGGTTTCTGTATTATTTTACTTTACTGAAACGTCTTGTAAAGTTTATCATTGAACAACAAACATATCACTATTTAATTAGTTGTCTAGTTATTTTATAATTTAATTTGTTTAATCTGGTTGGCGTTTTTCCAGCAAGATCTTTCTACGGGATCGGGTTGCCGACCTCATGCCCAACCGTCCTCCTTTACCCGGTCTTGGAACCGGCAGCAACTGTAGAAGTGTTACAGGCGGAGTTATTTTATGAAACTGATACTGACCCAACAAATCTGACCTTTTTACTATAAGGAAACTGTGAAAATTACCTGGATTATGGATTGGTGTCACTTTGGCTGAGGCAGCATATAATGGTTCATACGCTTAAATTCAGTCAATCTATAATATTAAGTAGCCATCAATGGTCTAAATATTAAGCACTGTGTAGGAGACATAAACGTTTTAAGTTCGATTCCCAACCAAGTTGTCTATGTGCTCTATTGAGGATTTTCATATTATCAAAAAGTAGTTATCTGGTGTTTCTTGCTTTTCACTATCTAACTAGGATCAATCATTCGTGTAACCTGTAAAATCTTACATAATTTTTATTTTCTGTCATACTATTACATATCAAATTTCATTTTTATCGTTTCACAAAATGTAACTTTATATTTAGTCTATAGATAATTTAATACTATGAATTTTTCACAATTGATTGATCACTGGATGGTGATCAATGTCATGCGTGTCTAGCCCTTACTAGTGCAGATCGAATGCTCTCGACCATGTTGCAATGTGACCACCAGTCTAGGTGACTCGACACTGCGTGCACTATTGTGAGATTAGGTGGTGGTTGGAGATAGTCAACAGGAAACCCTGGACCCGGGTTTCGTGCTAGTTGGCACTCGTCAGCAAGATGTGTCTGTAATCTTGAGGGAACTGGTGCTTCCTGGCGGATTCGATCTCGTGTCACCCAGCTTCACAGTCAGAGACGTTACCACTGAGCTATCCGAGCCGTGACTAACCTCCTGTAGGACTGAGATGTAATCACAATTGATTGATCACTGGGTGGTGATCAATGTCATGCTTGTCTAGTCCTTATTAGTGCAGATCGAATGCTGTCGATCATGTTGCAATGTGGCCACCAGTCTAGGTGACTCGACACTCTTTTTATTTGAAATTTTATAGTTCAAGGTGTGTTTTATTACACATAAATCATATTGATATTTTAGAATGATATATAGAAAATCACCATGAAATACGCAAAAACTCTTTATAAGTTTGGGCAATTTTAAGAGGACCTATGAATTACTATATATCAATAGGCTTTTTGAGCTTGACATTAATCCAAGTTGCATATTACGTAATAGACTGTATAAATTATTATTCGTTTTTAAATGAATCAATGAACTTTTTTCCATGTCTTCAAATTATCCAAAATTTGGTTATAATTACTAGGAAACGAAAAGAATAAGAGGACCAGATAACTTTTTATGATTGGGATGAGTGAATTTAGTTCAATATTTATAAAAACATTATAACATATTAAACAAGTCAATTAGCTTTCTCATTCTTTCACTTTCTTTTCCTGTTAGATAATAGCAAGTGGCTCAGATATTTACAATCAGCATAAACTAGGTTTTGACAATTTTAATAGTTGACATAATCAGTAAATTGGAGCTAGATCACCATGAAAACACGGAAACACTGAACGGCCGTTACGTCCTATTGTGAGACTCCTCAGCAGTGAGCATCTACGATCCCATTTCGAGAGATTCGAACCCAGGATCTATCGGTCTCACACGCGAACGCTTAATCATTAGGCCACTGAGCTGGCCGGCATCCAACGGTGTTAATGTTTAACTTCAAGTAATTCATGAAATTGAATGACACATCCACCATTTTCTTCGGTGAGTTACTATCTCACAACAGATCCAGTTGAACTCCACTGGTTACTGCTTCTCACTAGAACTCCAAGAAATGCCTCTTGAATGCACTCACTAGTGACAATATATTGATTAGTATCAAAATGGGTTTAGTGTATATTATATATATAGAACTCTATTATCACTATGATATAGTGTTTGAAACCGAAACAACAACACCATATATTCTCTATTCGAATCCAAATATCTAATTTGATTGAAATGAGTCTATAAGATAAATGAATTCAAAAAATTTATAAAATCAATTGTAATGAAACAAACGAAAGAATTTGTAATATCAACTACTTATTTGTTATATCTCTATGGAAGCGAAATATTTCACATTACGTAATAGAACGAGAGAGAAAAAAGAAGAAGGAATGCTTTAACATGAATAAACAATTACAATGGGCATTACATGAACAATAAAATACCCAGTAAGAATATATATATATATATATATATATATATATATATATATATATATATATATATATATATATATATATATATATATATTGATGATAAAGCATATACAATCTATGGTTTAGAATCACTAAACTCCGACAATTTCTCATGTCATGGAAACACAATTTAGAAAATTAAAGAATAAAATTATGTAAACAAATTTGTATATAAATAGTGTAATCACAGATTGACTATGTAATACAATTTCCTCATTTCTATTTGAATAATAAGACATTTGTTGTAATATGTGATAATATTTCGTTAACAAATCTATTTATTTCATCATGTCATATAGAAAGAATATATAACAAATTAGAGTAGTTATTAGGTTAATTGACATAGGTATCAATGTCAAAGCTGATTTCAGATAAATTGAGTACTGAACAGAAAGTGAATTATATATATATATATATGTTATATCTCGATAAGTATTCCCAAAATTGTGCGTCCTGATGTTTCGCGACCTTATTCAAGCTGCTTCTTCAGAGTAAGTTGACACAAGTTGAAACAGTACCAAAGAAATGATTTAAACTTGCGTTAATTTATTCTGAAGAAGTTGTTTACATGAAGTCACGAAACACTAGAACACACGATTTTCGGAATACTAATTGAGATGTATTTATTGTTAAATGACATGTTTAACATCAATTTATCTTTCTTCTTATTTGATATTTTCACAATTCATGGATAAAGTTTTTTTCTTCTTTTTTTTGAGATCACTTCATTCCAACATTTAGATTTGATCATCCTCTATTTTACTTGTTACAAATGGTTTCATTAATCATATTAACTAATGATACTTCTCAACTATCAAATATATAATTAGATATAATTATTTTTAATATATAGAATTTATTCAGGTTCTTAGTTCGATTTCTTCATTCTGTTTCCCTTGTAATATCAATCAATCAATCAATCAATAATAGGTGACTTTTGAAGTTCATTTGTACATTTTTTATAATTGACTAATTCATCTAAATAATAAATAAAGAAATTAAGTGAAATATATTAAAATTTAATCAAATTATTGATTATTAATAATAATAATAATTAGTATTATTAATAATTAGTTAAATAATTAATTAGAAACTAATGATAAATATATTCGTATTGAAAAGAGCAAGAATAAAGCTTCTAACAGAATAACATAATAGTAATATCAGGTGTTTTCTGGAAATTTTAGTAATTATCATGGTTGAAATCATGAGTCAATTGAAGCTAAACCCCTTCTGATAATACTCATCTGCTCATTAGTGACTGACTTCAAGAGGCATTTCCTGGATTTCTAGTGAGAAGCCGTTATCAGTGGAGTTCAACTAGGTCTGTTGTGATTTATCAGCTCACTGAAGACAATGGTAGACGGTGGTGCAATTTAGTGGATTGGTTGAAGTTAAAAATTAACGCCGTTGGATGCCGTCCAGCTCAGTGGTGTAGAGGTTAAGCGTTCACGCGTGAGACTGGTAGATCCTGGGTTCGAATCCTGAGGGACGGGATCGTGGATGCGCAGTGCTGAGGAGTCCAACGATAGGACGAAACGGCCGTCCAGTGTTTCCAGGTTTTCCATGGTGATCTAGCTCCAGTTGGCTCATGATTATTTTTTCAATTCCAGAGCTGGCAAAGATAAGAGATCATAATTCTGACAAATTATTATCCATAATTTCAAAAAGTGGTATCCTGGTGAACAAGGATGTTAAATCAAAAGAAACTATGAAGTTATTCGTAATATTCGTATGATTTAGTCCATCAGTAAATTGGAATGAATCTTTTAACGTATATGTTGTTAACCTCTGACGAACCGACTCTAGGTTTTTTTATTTTGTTAGCCAGCATGCAACTATGTGATATGATGAGTTGATCATTGATAGGATAGGTCTAAGTGGAACTTTTGGTAAAACATACATATGAAGTAGGCATGAACCATTGTAAATAGAATTACCATTCATTTTCCTTTTCAGAAGTTCTCTAAGCATGCGTGTTATTGTTTTTCTGCTATCTTTATTACGGAGTTGGGAATTCAAAATTAATGTCATAACTCAACCTACGATATTTGGAGGGTACTATGCTTTCATATAACAGTGCAAAACAGTATTGAAGTATAATTTTTTTAAATAAAAAAGATATTTGGTAAGTATAAACCATTAAACCCAAATTTTGAACTTAAAATTTGATTTCTAGTAAGAATAATCTAGATTATTTTTCTTATTTTTTGCTTGAATCATCACAGAGAGCCAGTAGTTTTTTAAATCTTTCTGTGGGGACAGTCCATGGTTGAACTCAAGGAAGCTCTAAGAAGTTCAGAAAGAGCCGAAGATATTCCATTTAATCATCTTTTGGAAGAACATTCCAGGATCCTTAAGTGTAGCATCCCTATTGGACAAATACTAATAACCCTCTGTATGAGGATTGGAGAACTATAATGATGATTTCGTTTTTACTAAAACCTATAAATACCTAACAGTTTTGTACCATAACTGACACCATTTAGAATAGCATTCCTCTCACTTGTTTTCTGTCTTCTCATTTGCTACTTAAGAGGGTTCTAGCGTTTAAGGCGCTCAAGTTATACGCGGTATATTAAGAATCTAACCTCTAGATATAACACTTTCTAAGCTGAAATATTGTAACTCATCAAATAGATGTGAACTTAGAAAAAGTATTATGAAATTACCTTCTGAGAGTTAAAATTTTTGAAGATGCACAATAGAAATCACTGAACCATCACCATATTGTCTTACGTTAAAAAAGTAACCAATTGCTTTTAATATATGATATGGTTCGTGTATTTTTATGTAAATAAGTGATAGAATAAAGATAGTTGGTAAGTTGCTAATCAGAGACTTACTCAATAGATTGTTTACATGAGACTTATATCTAAGATTTAGTAAAATCGTCTTAACAGCAACTTTGTGAAACTATTCAGTTATGAGTATTTAAGCTTTAGGGTTTATTTAACAACGAACTATAAATTGTCAAGGATACAACTGATTTCAATCGACATAACACAGTTCCCTCCAAAAAAACACTTTCTGTATGACAATTGATTATAATCTATTTTAACAACTCCGAGACTGTTTTAATTCTTTAGGGTTATTATAAATTTAAACTTTATCAGTTCGTCGTCAACCAACTTAGACTTCAAATATTTATCATATCAGTATGCGGTTGTGGAGATTGTAAAGCTTTCGATTGAAATCATGAATCGATTGATGTTAGACCACCATTGAAAACCTGGAAGCACTGAACCGCCGTTTTGTCCTATTGTGGAACTCCTCAACGGTGCACATCCACAATCTTGAACCCAGAACCTTTAGACCAATGAGACGGCATTTGACGGTGTTAATGTCTAACTTCAACCAAACCATGATGTCGCGCGATCATCTTCCATTGTCTGAGGTAGACACCTATATGTACCTGACACGGATTAGCTCGACTGGTCACAACTTCTCACCAGAACATTTTACGCTTAGAACAGTAACAATGAAAGTTTCGTTCGACAATGATCTTTATGCTGTATGAACAAAATTTAGATAAATTCATTTACCTAGAAAAACTAGGATAATTAAACATAATCAAATTGTTTTCTTTAAGAATAATGTACGTCCTCAAATCATTCAATCATTGATACTTGAAACGTAACCGTAATAATCATTTGTTTAATGTCTATTATAAGCTTTCATATAACTAGTAAATCATCCTATACAACTGGAGATGTTTACCTAAAAGTGGTAGGTCTTTCTTCACTTCCAAACTTTTATTTTATATTACCAACTCCAATTTACATTACTTGATGAATCCTTCTGTAACATTTTTTTAATGAAACAAATTATTATATACTTAAAAGATTATTAAATAAGGACTTACTTTCTCCATGTATATAAGAGCATAATGTTGTTGGTATCCTTTGAGTGGAAAGATCTGTACTTGGTACATCATAATGGTGTCGTAATAGTTCAAGATAATATAACTTCATATAGGTTCCAAGTGTTTCCAAATTTTGATTGTGGAAAATATTGGAATTCGACAAACAGTTAATTGGTATTTGATTTTTTAAACAGTATATCAAATGAAAAATGTCAGTATACGATTGATATAATTCAGGTATACTAGTATAATGCTCTAATAATTTACGATGAACTGAAACATTAGACAGTCCTGTAGGACTTGAAAAAGCGGACTGTCTTTCTTTGAATGCATCTACTTGTTTTGTTATTGATATGTCTAATGAGTCATTGTTGGTCCTGAATAAATTATCCTCACTTGGTACATTGGATATAAATTGTTTTCTTGCATCATCAGTACAATTATTTACGGATTCCGAATTACAAAGAACACATGAGATAGGAAATTGTTCTAATTCTCGTTTTTCTTGTGGATTTTGGGTAGACCAATTAGGGTAGTCATACCCTAGTGATATTGTATCCTTCTTTTGAATATCAGGGATTAACTCGTCATGATGTGTTGTCAACGATGTCTTATTTTGTGAAGACAAGCTTTCGATATTCAGTAAAGATGAAATGGTGAATTGTTTAGAACCTGAATTTGATTTACTTCTACAGTTTGATTTTGTTCCTGATGGGTTTAGTACTTGATCTTCCTTTCTTGAAATAAAGTCGGTTTTCCTATCTGATATTTTGTGATTATTAGGGCAATCATTAAAAAATTCTGGATTAGACATATGTACAGAGTTTCCCTTATTTACTAAAGTATGTGGTCTAGATTCCGGCGTTTTTGGAAATATCCCATCATCTGTTTCGTGTTTTGAGAAATCTGTCATGAAAGTGGACATCGTAAATGGTAGAGATCTTGGAATACTCGGATTCTGTTAAGGAAATAAATGAAAAAGAACTATTATTTAATCGTTTATTAAGTATAAGGAAACACCCCACTTAAGTCGGTTTAAGAATAAAACATAAATTTTAACTATCGAATAGTTGTAGTTCATAATTCTGCGACGTTCGAATAACTGTCCCTTTCTACTAAAACCTAGGTAAGTCAAAAACATACCTCCATGCTTCAGTTGACCTAACCGTACTCAGTTGTATAATCATGCAGTGCAACCGAGTAATAGTTCAATGTAGAATATTTTATTCAAAACTGAAATATTTTATTGATAATGATAATATGTGGGGCTCTCCGTTTTAACGTCTAAATGAAGAGCCTCACTAAAGTGGCGAGCCCAATGTGATCCACCTTTGTGGCCCAAGATCCCGGACCACAAAAAATACATTACCAACCTAGGTAACGAAATACGTTATTATAGTTATCAGTCTGCAATAAATAAACTATTTTTAATGTAAGCCAAAAGTTCCCACTATCCTACTTACAAAGCTGTTAGTAATCTCTAATTCATTTGTCTACAAGAAAAATTCTGTCAACCTACCTTTCTGTCAGTTCTGTTAACAGAATATTTTGCAGATGGACTGTAATGTACCCAGTATTATTTTCTCTTTTGTTAATATACTATTCAAATAATTTTTTGTAAAGATCTATTTCTATTATTTCTGATGATTGAAAAGATCTGATAAGATTACAGGTTGATCTTTCTTAATTATTTTCAGATAGACTTCGGTTTATGACAAAAATATACCTTATTTCATTACTTTTAAGCCACATTTTGATCAGCTGAAAGAAGTCCCAAAGCGTTTTTTGGAAACAACTTTCTCGATTTCTTTTTATGTATGAAGTAGTTTAAAATCCATTACATCTCTAACAGGCTCCAAGATTTGGACTCAATTTAATTGTTGTCAATAATACGGAGGAAATAGTTCTGTGACCTTGAAGAGAAACCTTCCGTCACATTCAATACCATAAACATTTTCATTAGAACTACTTTGTTATTCTTGGTTTAACTTATACAGGAAAAATCATTATATTCTGTGCAATTTCCAGATTCATTACTTTCGGTCATACAATATGGAAAGAATAGTGAAGTAATGAAATCTTTAGAGTGAGATAACGAGAGTATGGTTTTTAAAAATCACCTTTATTTCTTACAACTATCATATATTTCATCTTTGAAAGCTGCATCACCTTTGAACTACTTTTTTATGGTTAGAACATGTCTTAGTATACAAAGTTAAGAAATGATTAACTTTCAATGAGAAAACTGGGATATAAATGGTTTAAAATGTAATAAACCTAATCTTAAAGAGTTGCTTTATCTCATCTTTTCTTCATTCGATTTTAGTACATTTATAAATTTATCAATGAAAAACCTAATATGTTTACCACAAACTCTAATGGTTCAGAAATCAACCATACAATTAATTAATGTAGCTAACTCAAAATCAAATTATTAATTGATTTTTGTTGGACGGTGGCTCAGTTTCATGGATTGGTTGAAGTTAGACATTAGCACCATCAGATGCCATTTCAGTGCTCTAGAGGTTAAATGCTCGTTCGCGAGACCGATAGGTCCTGGGTTCGAATCTCGAGAGGTGGGATCGTGGATGTACACCGATTAAGAGTCCCACACCAAGACTAAACAGTCGCCTAGTGCTTCCAAGTCTTCTATGGTGGTCTAGCTTCCATTAACTCATGAATTCAACTATTAAATAAATATAACATCCACAAAATCCCTTTCTGACAATAATTATTTACTAGTATACGGGTTGTGGAGATTATTAAATTTTTGATTGAGATCATTAACCGGTTGATGTTAGACCACCTTTGCAAACCTGGATGCACTAGACGGCCGTTTCGTCCTATTGTGTGACCCCTCAGCAGTGCGCATCAATGGTCCCGCCCTCAGGATTCGAACCTGGGGCCTTCGGTCTCGCGCGCGAACGCCTAACCTCTACACCACTGAGCTGGCCTGCATCCAATGGTGATAGTGCCTAACATCGACCAATCCATGTCAGGTAGAGACAGGTATCTGCCTCAGTACAACGGAAGTTGGTCGCAATTTCGTGGACTGGTTGGTGTTGGACACTATCACCATTGGATGCCGGCTCAGTGGCCCAGTTGGTTAAGCGTTCGCGCGCGAGACCATCGGCCCTGGGTTTGAATCCCGTGAGCGGGATCGTGGATGCGCGCTGCTGAGAAGTTCCATAATAGGACGAAACGGCCATCCAGTGCTTTCACGTTTCTAAAGGTGGTGGTCTAACCTCAATCGGTTAATGATCTTAATCAATAATTATTTAAATGAAAATCTTTAAAATTAACTTACAGAAGAAATTTGTAAATTTGATGAATATACCGATTTATAGTGAGAATCATCATAAATATTTTGAGTTGAGTATTGTTGCGTATATGGAACTTTTATATTCTTCTTATTATTATTAGTTAACATAGAATTTGTGAGACTCATCTCTGTATTTATTGAAGATTCTAATAAGTGATTTGATCTTTTACGATAATCATTTATTGTTGTCTGTTTTTCTGTAGAACTCAATTGATGATTTTGATGTGATTTATCACTATCATTATTATTATCTCTATTGTTACTCCCAGTATGACAGCTAATGTCACTATTTGTATATAAACTTGATGTTGATTTCATACTGGTTGATAACCTATTTGAACTGTTAAATGTGGGAAATATCTGTGGCATTATTAATGAAGATATTGACGAAGTTGGTATGTTTGGTGATGACAAGAGAGAATTCATTGAGACATAAGATTTCAAGAAATTATGAAAATTCTCTGACTCAGAAGGATATGTACATGAAGAACATTTAGATATTGGAACAACTGTAGAAAATGGTGAAAATGGAGGGATCATTGAATTAGTGTTTGAAGGAATCACTTTTGAACCTAATTTTCCAGCATGGAAGCTCTCTTTATTATAGGGATGTTCTAATCTATCACAATGATGTCTTGGTGTATCTATAAAAGATTTTCGTAAAGAAAACGATTTCTCCTCAAATATTGAGGGGTCATCCCAATTTTCAGGCATATTTGTTGGTAAATCTTCTAAATTTTCAATAATACTTCTATCTTGTTTAACTTCCGGTAAGCTTTTGTATTTTTTAGAACAGGAGTTCCGAGAGTATCTTGGGATTGTGTTCGCTGTCTGATAACTTTTACAATTTAACTTTTTATCCTGTTTCGTCAGTAGGTGTTGAAAATCTGACTCTCTATTCATTGAGTTGTTATTCTTTGTATCGATCTTTTTTAAACAATTCATAACAGAATGTTGTTCAAATAGGCATGTATTAGTATTATTTAAATTGTTTGTCAAAACTTCACTCGATGCTTTCACATTTGAAAGTTCATCACAGTTTTTTGTGGAGTCAGTTTGATAAAGACAATCTGATTTCTGATGCAACTTATTAGGTACATCGTTAGAAGAATTGTAGTTAGTGACTCTAAGCATAGTATACTGTTTAATTAATTGATCAAATAATTTTTCCCTTTCAGAATCAGACATTCCTATTAATTCCACATGTCGTCTAACAGTATGACGTTTGATCGTATCCACTTTTCTTTGAGTCATCACTTTATGACAAACAAGACACATGACCTGAAAGAACAGATGAAAACAGACCTTTTTATTTACTGAGTAAACATTTAACTACTTACAAACAATTTAGTAGTTTCAGAATAAACAGTCAATAAAACAGTAAGAAAAATCATTTCTTTACATAAATGAAATAATCTATAGTTTTAAATAGTTTAGTTTTGTCATTCAACAAGGATCAAATTAACCTGTACAACTCAAGTGTTATTGACATACATCATATCATGTAGTATCAACCAAATATTAAACCAAAAAACAATAAAATAAATGAACAAAATAAAATCCATAGTCAAACAGCTTATTATGAACTCAGTCAGGCTCAAATAATAAATAATCTGTGTACAAACGGTATCTATGTGTATTTTTCGTGTGTACATAGTACTTGTAGCACATATAAGTAGATTTTGAAATTCGTGTATGTTGATTAAAAAGCAAACTTTATTTATTTGATAATTTGATTGTGACAGCAATTTTCTAATACTTCGTGGGTGATCATTTTGATAGGTCTATAAACTTTATAAAATTATAAATGATGGTGTCATCTTTCAATCGTAAAGATGACACTTCTTAAATCACAATGTCAGTAAGTAATATTTACATTAAATGACAATTTATTCACTAGAACATTATTTATATAAAATGAAACTGTATTCAATAATTATGGTTTATAACGGTAAAAAGTAGATGGTTCTTGTTGTGTGGACGATACTTAATAATTGGAAAAGGAATATTAATATTATCAATGTTAGTGACAGTAATACTAGTACTAGGTATTTAAAAACTATGGTCATGTAGTTGAACATTGATGATCCTATTCAAACAAATAAATGATCCATGTCATTTCATTTAACAAAAGAAGTGTAGTCAATTTAATGCCTTATACTTTAATTAGGTCTTGGTTAGTCTATCGTAAGGTCAGAAAAATTGATTCAGTTAGAAGCTATGCTTAAAAATAAAATCAAACTAGATAAGTGGTGTAGTATAATAGGTATTAAACCAATTGTACAACTGTATAATAAATAACACATTCATACAAAATCAGCGTAATGTACAATAATAAAAGTCAAGGATACATTGAATAATAAATTGTAACCCTTCTTTTTAAAAATATTCTGGGAAAATTTGATCGTACAAAGCGCGCACTTGGTAAACAAATATCCAAGCATTACCCTGGATGTTAATCTAAAGGGGTACACAAATCAATCAAAGGATCACTTCTCAAACTCAGACAATTTGGGTCACATCCCAACTCGTGAATTTGAGTTTAAAATTCTCTACAAAATAGGAAAAACTAGTTCAAAGAAGGTTTACATGAGAAATTTGTGCATAGCCAAAGTTAGAGCGAACTCTGAGTACAGATGATAATAATCATGTTATTAAAGTTTAACCAATCACTTGTAACTTATCATAATTTGGAATTTTAACTAAAGAAAAGTTTTCTTTCATAAATTACATACCATCAGAAACTCAAAAACAATAATGATACACGCAATTTACTACTCAAAATTAAAAATATGTTATTTATTAGGTTATATGAAACTTCTTTTCAGTATATAATATGTAGGGTATAATCCAGCTGAAGATTAACCAATGTCATATTTGTACTAATCATATCCTACTTATTAATATACATTGTTGTCACTAGATAAAGTCATTATACATTTGTCCTATATTAGGTGATGAAACGAAGTCAAGAAGTAACTTTAACTTTATGTTTCATGTTAGTTGACACTTAATAAACAAATCATTCCCATGGTCTTCAAGAAATTAATCCTCTTCGTTAATAACAGTCAGAATAGTTCAATAGTATAAAGTTTATGACTTGAAAATTGGGCGAACTAAATGTAAAACACATAGAGTGTATAGGTTTTTCTATGTATACCCGCTTTTAGTAACCTAAGATCACTTGCTACATTTTTTCCATCATTTAAATTATCGGATAGAAACAATAGCGGACAACCAAATACAATTCAACATAAAATTACAGAATATCTTAGTAAAATCTGAGGAATATACAGTGAATACTTCATTTGTACAATATCAGTCAATTGTCTCAAACTTCAATGTTCATACTTCCTGTTCCCATTCTTTCCTCCTCGATCTTCTTGAGCTTCAGTTGACAGACATTCTATTCCTATCTAATATTATATACTACTTATATCGATATAAGTAGTACACACTATACTATAGTCAGAAATCTTACTATTAAACCATTAAAATCGATTGACAATCAAGATATACAGATTAATTCAATGTAAATATTATTTTAGATGACCAAAACATTCTTTTTCATCTAAATTATAATATTCAATAGCATTTCTACTTGGTATGAACATTTCTTAACCAAAAAATCAAAAAAATAGGTGAAAAATTCATATAAATCCAGGTTGATTTCACCTTTATCTATTATGAATTATGCATTATATTCTTGTCTGGTATCACCTTGGAAACATAAAAAATTTTGATCGACTATCAATATCAATATTTTTTTGTTTTTGTTTTATTATTATTATCATCAACAAATGAATGATTATGTTTATTTTTTTTAAATAAAAAAGGAACTATTATTAGTGACATTTTTGTATTCAACATTCAAAACTTAAAGTGTTATGTATATTTCAATAGTTGAGATTATGAGTCAGTTGAAGCTAGATCACCATGGAAATACTGGAAGCACAGACGGCCGTTTCGTCCTATTTTGGGACTCCTCACCAATTCGCATCCATGATCCCGCCCCTCGAGATTCAAACTCAGGTCCTATCGGTGTCGCGTGCGACCGCTTAACCTCTAGACCACTGAGTCAGCCGGCATTCAACAGTGTTAATGTCTAACTTCAATTAATCCACTTATTAAACAAAAAAATTTTAAAAGAGATTTTAGTAAAATAAATTTTAAGAACAAACGATGTTGATTATTCAGATATATAATCTTAAGGTGAACTGTTTCCATTTGAGAGTAACCATTTATTTTTTCAGTATTCAATAAAAGTACAGCATGTAACATGTTTCGCCATTCATTTAATGGCAATATATAAAAAGGATGATTTCCGTTGGGATTTCATTTCAATAATCTAACACTATTTACAGATATCTTTTTGATATTGCACAATTCAGTTATTCATTAGGTTGATTGTAAAATATTAGAAAAAGTGCTTAATATCACACACATATTGAACATTAAAAATTGAAAACACGAAGTTCAGAGAAGGGATCTCTTTTCAATGAATTTATTATCAAGCTTTACAATCATATATATATGAAAATTTTTGTTAAAGTACTAACTCTGTGATTAATCATCTGTAATTATGGTACGGATCCACAGTTTGATTTTAAGGTTTTATGTAAATGATTCGTTTAAATCTACCTAGATTTCTTCGTATGCAAGTCCTAAAAATAGCCGAAGCTCTTAACATCCATAAACTCAAACCAGAACTGTGCGTGCAAAAGAAGTACGTATTATCATTATCATTACCTTGGCCTCAATTAACATTATTATTATTGCTGCGGTTTGGCGCGCAAGACCGATACATCCTGGGTTTGAATCTTGCCAAGCAGAATCATGGATGCGCACTGCTAAGTAGTCCCATACAAGGACAAAAACGCTGTTCAGTGTTTCCAGGTTTTCCATGGTTATCTAGCTTCAATTGACTAATAACCTCAACCATTGAAATTTCTATAATATCTACAATAACCCCTTCTGATTTTATGTGTACATATGTATACATATGTGTTTATTTAATGTTGTGTTTCCCTGAGTGAATGTACAAGGATGTACATTTTTTTGTTTTCAAGTAAACATAAAAAAGGGATAATTTACTGTGGAATTGTGATGAATATTTCATTTTGTGTTCTTTCTGTTCTTTTTCTTTTTCCAAGAGATATAGTTATATAACATAATTAAAATGAAATTATTGTGATTTATTTTAAGCTTCAATATTATTGTAGTGAACGAGAACACATGTAGGGACAATCGAATATATTTCAACACAAAATTACAGAATATCTTAGCAAAATATAAGAATCATACAGTAAATGTCAATCGATTGTCTCAGACTTCTCTGATCCTTCATTTCCACAATAATCATTCTTTGTTCTTGTTCTCTATTCTTTGATCTTCATAACTTACTGCCACCAGGTATTTTACTTTCGATTGATGATATATACTACTTAGATCTATGGACATCAGTAGCACTCACAACATTATGATCACTTTTTATCTACTGTATGTATATTTATGTCATAAATATGACAATATAATTCCTTTTCTTTTTTTCCTTTTTTTTCTTTAAAAATTATATTGTCTGGAAATATTGAAATTTTTCTTGAAGTTGGTTCATTCTATCACTTTCACTTAGCCTACTATACTTTCTATTTAATATTTTATCCTTATTGTCATTAATATTTGTGATAGGATTAAGTGTACTTTCTAGTTGTGTATATAGATAGATAAGTAGATAGATTGACAATGAATATTTGTGACTGTTTAAATTACACTATTATACATTGGTTATTAGGAATAGATTACGTTTAAGGATAAAAGGTGTAAACCATTGTCATCATCATCATTATCATCATTATTACCATTACCAATAATGTCATTATCAGTTTTGCAAAGTTTAAATAATAATACTCAAGAGAATTATTGCTTATAATGTTAATAAAACTTCTTACATTTACATTTTACATTGTCAATTGCATAAATTATTAGGGTAAATTACAATATAATAAAGAATAAAATGAATGACTAAATAGGTAATGTTAATGATGACGATAATGTTAATGATAAAACTTTGTTTGAAAGACAAAAAGAGAAAACAAAGGAGGAGGAGGAGGAAGAAGAAGAAGAAATAAAGGCGGTTATATTAACTTTGATTTGTATTTAACTCTTTTTCTATATTGAAATCTTTACTATACTTAAATAGACGAGACAATGAAGTATAAATACATATATCTAATCAAATGTATGTAATTCAAGAAATGGTGTCAATTAGCTATGAATAATTAATAAAATGAACTGAGTAGGGAAAAGAAACTATCGTTACAATATTACTGTATAATACATCTATGATTACTTGATAATGTTAAAAGACAATTAGCAACTATGGAATATGTTTATTGAGATGATGGAGAAGATTTGTAACTCAGGTGGATGATTTTGACGATGTTTTTTTCTCTGAGCTGGATGATTTAGTTTTACTTTTATCGTTCTTCTCAACGATATCATCAATACAAAATTCAGGTAGAAGTGTTGATAATGTCATTCAAGAAGAACGATGTAAGCACCACGACCAAACCATCCAGCTCAGAGAACAAAACTCCATCAAAATATGTTTTTTATTTCTCATTAAATACATATATATCATTTTGTTCCAGTTCAAATTAATATCCATGTCCATAGATTCGAGTAGTATATATCATCAATCGAAAGTAAAATACCTGGTGGCAGTAAGTTATGAAGATCAAAGAAAAGAGAACAAGAACAAAGAATGATTATTGTGGAAATGAAAGAACAATGAAGTCTAAGACAATCGATTTACATTTTGTAAATGAAGTGTTTACTGCATGGTTCTCATATTTTGCTAAAATATTCTGTAATTTTGTGTTGAAATACGTTCGATTGTCCCTACATGTGTTCTCGTTCACTACAATCTTATTATATCATTCACTATATAGTTAATCGTAAAAAATATCCCATTTTATATTTGTGGTAAGGTGATATGAATATGTTCTATCATGACTTGAATGTAATCAACACTAATATACTTTCAATGAAATCTAAATATCCATAACTAAATACATATGAAAGCTTATACTATCCTCAAATTACACTTAAAAAAATATTTGCACTCTTTCTTTGGATAATACTAAGCTATTTTGAGAAATAAATCTCAGAATGTTTTAATTTATTAGTAACCAGTTGTAATTTCAATTTCTCCTTAAATTAGAATAATAATCAGTGAATCATTAGAGTAAGAAATAAATATAATTTAGAGATGGTAGAGATTTTTAGCTCGAGTGGATGATTTCAATGAAGTTGTTTTCTCTGAGCTGGATGATTTGGTTGTACTTTTATCGTTTTTCTCAACGATATCATCAGTACAAACTTCAGGTAGAAGTGTTGATGATGTCATTTCAGAAGAACGATGAAAGCACCACGACCAAACCATCCAGCTCAGAGAACAAAACTCCATAAATATAATTTATTAGGAACTAGGAGTGACTTTTTTTAAACTCATCTGTTTAATCTTAATCTCATAGTAACATGCCTTTTCTCGGATTTTTCTGTTACTATTTAAAGATATTATTATTATTATTATTATTATTATTATTATTAATATTTGTGTTTATTCATTGTTGTATTGTTTGTTTGAATCTTCTCTCTGATGTTTAGGCTTGCAGTTGATCAGTCTATTATTGTCATACATCCATCTTGTGTTGATTACCTTGATATTACCATAAGTCACAAACAGTTAAGCAAATATGAGTGGTGGCTAGCAGTGGAATCAAGGATGAACGTCTCATTCTCTATAGGACTCGTCAGTTGTATATACCTACATTCTAGAGACTAACAGTGTACACCAACTCTGAGATGCCGGTACATCCATCTGACGAGTCTGAAATAGGACGAAATGCTAGTTACTATCTATATTTGCTTATAAAGGAAGTGTTTAGTTGTTATCTTTAATCTCAACAAATAAATAAATTTTCAATTATTCATTTAAAGTAATATTATTATAAGGGAAAAATTTAACTTGGTGAGTCATTTTATTCTTTTGAATCACCTATCCGAATGATAATGTAATACTCTAAGCCAATCTGTTCATCAGATTACGATTTAATATTCATATGCACAAAAATATTATTTTTTCTGTTTAAGTGAAATTAACACTTATACAATTATCACGGTTGAAATCATGAGTCGATCTAAATTAGACCATGATTGAAAGCTTAAAACCACTGGATAACCGTTTCATCTTAGTATGAAACTACTCACTAGTGTACAACAATGATCCTGTAATTGAGATTCGATTGTTCTTATTTTACTTGTCCTCTAAATATAACTATGATTATAGCTATTATGGCTATCAGATTCAAGTATTATAACTTCTTTGTCATTGTGATAATCAATTACTAAACTTATGGAAATAGTTTATCAGTTTAGTTTGATATATATTCTAGTAATAGTTATTTATTTATTTATTACTAATCTATGCAAGAAAGTTGATAACATTGAACATTATGTTAGTGTACATTAGTTCAAGTTATCAATACAAGTCTATATTCAAACAAGATTTTCATTCAATATCATAGTGAAAGAAAGATGCCATTAGGTTACATTACTGTATGCAACTTAAATTGTTTAATCAAAATCAATTATGGTTGAACTTTAATATTAAGGAGTAAATGTAATAAAATGAAAATAAATATATCATAATTTCATTAAAGTTTTGTTGTTGTTGTTGTTGTTGTGACGAATGGCAAATTTTAAAAAACTATTGAGAGATAGACTACCTTGGAAAGTTATTTCATCCTAGTGTAAGATTCGCTAAAAATGTTCTTTCACTACCCTACCAGAGATTGAATCACGGACCCATAGATCTTGTGTTGAATGATTAACCTTTCAATGAGTGATTTGATAGCCAAAAGTTTACATACTTCAATCAGTTTACAAAATTGCTTGACTATATGTCAATACTACTATAGGTACGTGAATGTCTAATACGTGACATGAGTGAACTCTACTAGTAATTCCACTTAATCTAATGGATAAAGGATAACCATTAAGGACAATAATTTCAGTATTTAATATTGCCTGATTAATTCATATAACTAATGATATTTGATTTTTAATCAGAATAAAACACCGATTTTAACAGACTAAATGGCATCGAAAAATAATTAAGTGAATTATGTAATTTTTAAATAATTGGTTATTTACTCTATTAACAATAATAAAACCCAACTTTCAACTATATTCTCTCATATATAGATACATGACATTGATCACCACCCAATTGTTAATCAATGGTAAATACAGGAGGTCAGTCGCGGCCCAGATAGCTCAGTAGTAGGTTCTCTAACTGTGAAGCTGGGTGACATGGGATCGAATCCGTCAGGGAGCATCAGTTCCCTCCAGAATAATACAGGTACACCTTGTTGACGAGTGCCAAGTAGCACAACACCTAAGTCCAGAGTTTCCTGTTCACTACCTCCAACAACTATCTTATCTCAACATAGTGCACGTAATGTTGAGTCACCTAGACTAGTGGCTACATTGCAACTTGGTCAACAGGAATCGATCTGCACTAAGAAGAACCTGATGTACATAACACTGATCCCCGTTCAGTGATCAATCAATTGTAAATATTCCTTCAGTACTTTATATATTGAAAAATTCATTTATCAAACAAAGTACGTTATTAAGTTTTATTTAGCAATTCATCTATAAATTGAATTATCATTTTAGAAACTTGCGTATTCTAGTTTGATTCAATATATTATCGCCAAAATATTTTAAAAAAATGTCCCTCCTCAAGAGATATGAACAATAGTAAGTAACTCACTTCATAAAGTCCATATGGTATAACAAGCCATAAATGTTTCCATTCTTCACGAAATCTTCGTCTACGATCTTTTTCACGCCATGTTAAATATTTATAAGCTGCACGACAATCGTTAGTTTTTTTTGTTACATTATTATTATTATTATTATTATTATTATTATTACTAATAGTATTCATTTTATTTTTATTTATATTTTTAGTTGTTGAATAATCCATTGTAGTAGGAATTATTGTTGATATATTATTATTGATTAGTTCATGATTATTATTGATTTGATTATCATTATTGATTTTTGATTTTTTTCTTGATATTGAATTGGTTTTTTTATATGTATTATTAGTAACCAAATAAGTTTCTTTAGAGATACTAGTTGTAATTAATTGATTATTATTAAATTGAATAACATTACAATTATTATTATTATTATTATTATCAGTATTATTATTAGTAGTAGTATTAGTACTATTATTATTACCTTCAATAATCTTATCACAGTTATTAATATCAGGATGATTTAAACCGGTATCATTTTTACTTTCTGTTTTTAATTGTTTTTCAGTATATTTTTTTGATAAATTTGAAATATTTTTAGAATATTTACGTTTTAATAATCGTCCGCTGGTAGTTTCTGTATTCATGGGAGAACTTATTGTTGTATTCTTCAATATACAGGATGATTGAATATTATCTTGATTTTTTTGACTGATTGAAGGTTGAATATAATTTGGTTGTAATTGAATATGAGATTTATTTAATGTTAATATGGGATCTTTAAGATTATCGATTGAAGAATGTATAGAATAATCAAGTGGATCACCATTAATGTTGTTATATGTATTAATACATGATGTATTGATATTTTTTAATGATTGAAATATATTTGAACTATTATAGAAATATTCACTTAGTACTGAACTAGATTGATCATGAATTTGAATTGGACATGAATTACTTGTATTAGATGAAATTGGTTTGTAATATTCTGTTGTATAAATACTGCTTGTATCAGATACAATAGAAATGTTACAATTAGATGTCCATGTACAACCATGATTATTTAATGTTGACCAATTATTTTCGTGATTTCGCATTTTCAAATCTATTGACTCATTAGATAATAATGGTGATAGTTTGTAAACATCATGATTTGTGGACATTTTTGTTATTATATAAAACAAGACTTGTGAAAATACAATAGTCTGTTCTATTGTAATCTTCTAGTATACGTCTTTTATTTAGCAATGTATTCTAAACAGGAAAAAAAAACATGATAATGTGGTCAATGATCAAACGCATACGAAAATCATAAAAATGAAAGTCATTAAGTGAGAAGTCTTGTCATTGTAGTTTTTCCTGTCTTTTAATCTGGATGTATATATCACTTCCTGATAAAAATAACCGATTAAGTAACTAATTCAGCGTTCTAATCACTACTTTTCACAATCAAAACTTTGTCGATCATTTTCCATGAATAAAATGTCTAATAGAGTATTGGTGTTTGTGATTTCCAGCTGTTGGTATTTAGGACTGTAATTGACCAATCACTATTGTTATATGTGAATCCTTAGTAGATTGTTTGAACGAAGTATTATGTTACAATTTTTTAGTTTATTTGATATATATCAAGCACTAGAATCCAGCACAATCGTTTGGGATAGTGTATTCAAGTTACAAAAACTTTCCTTGTGAAATCAAGTACACAATAATGTACACTCATTTGTATTGATTGTACATAGTGTTGTACAATATATTGTATACTATAGAAATATATTTCCAAATCATCTAATCTATGTGTAATACTATTTACAATGGGATTTGTTTACTTTAATTTAGGTGTTAGACAGACGACTACCAACCATAGTCGATGATTATAACACGAATCAGTCGAAATTAGATAATGTAAATCATTAAATTTTGAATGATTATCTTAGATAATTTGAATAATTGACCTCTTAAATATATAGGAAAACAAAGGTAAACAAACATATTAAATGGTATATCCTGTATCATTTTTTGTCTACATATAGGGGATAATATTCTGTAGATCTTGTACAAAAAGAACAACAACATCTACTGCTTGTCATTTTTACCATGTGATCATAGATAAACATTAAAATCATCATCATCATCCATCGTGGACAAACAAAAAGGTGAGACACTTAGTATAGATTGAATACTGATAATAATTCTTTCAAAATACCGCCTTCATTATCTTTGTCTGTTTGTGTTTACATTATATATAAGGGTATTCACTTATGATTCACTTGTTTTTCATCTATCATACACATACATACATACATACGTACAATGTAGACAGAACATGATCCAATAATGAAATGTCTTATATTTTAATTCTTTATTAACTAATCACCACATATGTGTGAAACACAAAATTAACACTTCTTTTGTAATATTATACAATAGTGACAATAATACAAAGAAAATGACAAGACATTGTTTTGTTATAAGTAAGGGTAACTAATAAATGAATCAATCTCATCTTAAACTATCCATATTGGATCATGTTTATTTAAACCGTTACTAAAGTTAACTATTGTAAGTTAGATGATGAGGGGGTTACTTTATGTTTGATCTACCGACAAAACATTTACAATATATGACTTTCCTTTTTTTTATTATTGTCAAAATGAATCAATTTCTTTCTTTTAATTTTGATATTCAACTTACCGTCTTAGTGATTATTAATAAACAATATTGAATTAAATCTATTCTATTTATGATGATACATATCAACTGAAACCTCAATAAATGTCATTTATCTGTCAATTAATTGTCAATTCCTATATATATGATGACCTCTTTCATGTTCCATAGACAACTAAATACTGTTATTCATTACATTGATATTGAAGATGATACCATTGTAATTGTGAATTATATATATACATTTCGTTGATGGATTCATATGTGAGAATAATATGATATTCCTAAGAGTCCAGTATTTACTTTTAAAATTTAAAGTAGTTAGTTAAGGAGTGTATGATATAAATATAGGCTTTGTTATTAAGTTCGATAGTATAAGGGTGAAACGATAGAGATAGTTGGCAACAATGTAGAATTGGAAAATTCATATCAATGCGTAAACTTCATGCTTTAACAAGAATTATTATTTTGGGAATAAAAACATTTTCATAGTTAAATCCAATTGGTGTTATTTTACTTAGATTTCCCCATTGCTATTTACGACTGAAATTGATCAATCTCTTATTGGCATATGTGCATTCTGTGTGTATTGCCTCGATATAGTGTTAAGTCACAAGCTTTTTAAGTAAAGATGGATAGTGACTAGCAGTGGAATCCAGGACGAATGTTTCATCCTATTTGGGACTCGTCAACTGGGTATACTTGCATCCCAGAATTGATGTTCACTCTTGGACTCAAACCCAGTACCGTTCGCTTCGAACGCCATCATTTTATCCACTTAGCTATTGAGTCCTGTAAACCACATACTTGTGTATTGAGGTGAAGTTTTAACTTCACTTGATGTTGTTTTACTTGTATCTTCCCATTGTTATTTAGGACGAGTCCCAAATAGGATGAAACGCGCGTCCTGGATTCCACTGCTAGCCACTATTCATCTTTGCTTAAAGATTTCCACAGTTCGTAATTTTTTGTGAATTATAGTTTTAGTATTATTTTTTCTTGTAGCTCAAAAATGTACTTTGTTCCAGTTTCAACTAAGCATTCATTTATAATTCTGTATTCATTAAATCGGTTCATTTCATACAAGGTATTATTTAAATAATAAACTGAAATATGCCACCTGATTTACTGACAATACGTTGACAGAGTATAACATCAAGTTCCTGAGTTAATCATTAGAAGTTGATTGATTGGACATTTTCGTCGCTATTTGGAGTCAAAACAATCATTATCTACTCACTTTACTAATATTACTTAGGATTATAATCATATCACTAATCTTTCTTTTCTTTAATTAAAAATAAATTATTGTTACCTAATTATGTAATATTGTCACAAGTAATTTAACTCCATCTTAATTACCATGGAAAATAAAGTTTGTCTTCTGAACATGTTATTCAAATAGTCCTTATATAATATTAAGTAATATCTAGAGTTATTAAATTGACTGATACTGATGGGAGTCATTTATTTATTGATTATCAATTGATCAATTAAAGTCCGGACAATCAGTTTCTTTTTTGAACTCAAAATACAACAGATTAATCTGTTATATTCTGTAATACAAGCTTTCCAGTATTTTTAACGCTTTAGTCAATAAAAAGTCCTGTATCTAAGTTTCTGCAGGTTGGGACACATCAGAGAGGCATTTCTGGAAGATTTAAGGGAATAATAAGTACTAACTCGCATTTAACAGGGATCAGTGGGTTTCTCCAAACTACAGAGACAACATATACTACTTGGTAACAAAATAAATAAAATCATGGACACATTTAAGCTAGACAACCACTTAAAATCTGAAATCACTAGATATCCGCTTAGTCCTAGTGTGAAACTCATCCCACATGCGCATCTACGACCGCACAACCAGGAATCATACGCAGTCTCGAGTGTGAACACTTAACTTTTGGATCACAGAGTCCGGATTTAGTAGCGTACATGCCTAACTTTAATCAATCTACAGTATTAAAGGACCATCTCTTATTGTATTCAGTGAATAACTACCCTACACTCGATACGATTAAACTCCACTTTTCATGGCTTTTCATTAGGACTCAGTGAATTCTCTCCTAGAGCTAGTCATCAATCAACACATGATAATTCTCAGTATGAGTTTATGGAGATTGTTGAATATTGCTGAAATTGTTCGACCAAAGTTAATCAAACTATTTTCAGTGCATGATTTTATTATGTGACTACTAATCTATTATTTACAAATGAAAATTGAACAAGTTCAGTCTAGCTACAATGGGAATTTGTAAAATTCGTCTTTTATGTAAATCACAATAGTATTATAATCATTTTCATATTCTAAGAATATAAATAATCTGAATATCACTAAGAAAAGCTTGATATACATAACATTGGTCATTATTCAGTAATCAATCAATTAGCAATAAATTACTGTCCTACAGTAGGTTAATCACAGTTCAAATCACCCAATGGTAACGTCACTGATTATGAATCCGGGTAACATTGAATATAACTCCACCAGGGAATATCAATTCCCTCAAAATTGCTGATATAATCTAATGACAATTTTTAATTAATACAAAAACTAGGTTGACGATTTCTTCTTGACAACTTCCAACCACCAGCTTAGTATTAACCTTAATATACAAATTATAATAGAAAAAGTCAATCTATGCTAGGTTTGTTCCTTTAACTGTTTTGGATTTCTTAAAAACAAAGTAGTAAATACTGAATATTTGGTATTCAATTAGTTTAGTTTTGCAGAAATAATAACATTCTGTTATTTATGACAGTTACCATATTTATTATTATTTTTTAAATATTGTGCTTTATTTGTTTCATTGAACTAAAACTTTTCTACTTGATGAATTAAACTGTAATCCAGGGTGTACATTCCTCTTTGTCCAGGACTCATCATAGCTCTAATGTATCGACATCCCTTTATTGATCTTCATACTGAAACTAGAATTTAGTATTTCTTTTTTGTTTAATGAGTTTAGTTATTATTCCATAAAGAACTGAAACTGAATAATATCGTTTATACAAATACAATCTGTGCTATACATCAATATAAACTCATTTAGTAACATCAAATGCTAAGTCATTGTATGAATATAACTAATGTTGACACTTATAGATAATTAAGGTCAGCTTTGAAAAGAAAGACATTATGATAATTAGAGTTCAAATTAGTTATCAGATAGAAGTATAATAAAGTCATTGAAAGTTTTTAATAAGTTTCAATATAAGACTATAAATAATATCTCAATTATATTTCAGTTAATCTCATATAGATTCGAACCTAGGGGATGATAAAACCTTAAGATCACTGAATTAGAATTCAATAATTTAATATTCAAGATATTAATTGATTAATAATACCGCTCAACTACATCGATGATATTTTCTTCATTCCGAATATATGGTTGAACTATATCGACTACTCACTGATAATCGTGAATTCGATTTTATATGATTTTGTGAACGTACATTGCTGTCGAGTTTAGTATTATCATGGAAT